CTGTTTTGGCCCTGGGGAAGGTGTTGTATAGGGTTAGACTGTGAAGCATTGCTGCGACCAGAAGCTCAAGTGTTGCTGGGACTTCCTTCTCTCAGACTCTCTTCTCACGGTGCCAAGATGGCTGCCTTCTGCTCCACGCTTTCATTCCATTCTCGCAGCCATCTCAAGGGAAAACAGTTCCTCTCACAGTTTCAGAGAAGTCTCAGGCTAAAGTCTCATTGGTTCTGATGGGTCACATGTTCTCCCTCCACAATCACCGAGGCTAGGAGTATCTGAATCTGATTGGCCAGGCCTGGGTCACATGACCACTTCCGAGATCTGGGTGAGGCCCAAGAAAATCAGGACTGTTACCATTGGGCGGGCAGGAGAGATTTTGGTTTGTGGGCTTTCACGCTCCAGTATTTGTGGAGAGTTGTTACTCAAATGGCTATGATTTTCTGTGGAATGGTAAAAGAACTGGGTCTGCTTTATCTTCTCAAGGAGAAGGCTGGCTTTGTGTTCAGCTTTTAATACGTCTTGGATGAATAGGCTTGTTGGGGGTTGGACGTGAGCCAGTCATGCGTCACCGTCCCCACCAACACAGCCTCATTGATAGAGAGGAACGCTGGTGTCAGACCTAGTCTTTTGGGTGCGATACCCTTTGGTGGCCACACACTTATCCAGGCTGGTGGTCCCTGAACCTGCTGGCCGGAATCACCTCAGGAACCCTGTTCGCCCTTTGGTAAAACCCAGCTCTGATCCCGTCATGCCTCTGCTTAAAAATTCACTGTGGTATTTTACCACAATTTTTTAAAAAGGGGAAACAAAGCAACAACAACAAAGAACCCTGCGCTGGTGTCCCATCCTTCTACCCTACTCCCATTTTTTTCCTCCTTTAGAGGCAGTGTAATAGATAAGCCTAACATACTTTCGCTGATTAGGTAGTAACTTCTAGGGCTCTAAATAGTGGGCTCCCTGCGGCTGCTTGTTGATTTGTCAGTTTTAGTTACCATCTGCCAGCATCCCACTTGGAAGATGAGATTTTAATCTCTTTCCTCCCTCTGTCCCCCCAGACACTCCCCTTTCCAAACACTTCCTTTCCTCCCAACAGAGCTGTGGTGTAGTCGATATACAGCATTCACGTTATTGCGGCTGTGGAAGTGCTTCACAGTGGAGCCTTCCAGTAAACTACCATTCCTTTCCTTTTTGTTGTAGAACGCATTCTTCGGTCATTTCTAACAGGGGCATGGGAGGTCAATTGAGACTTATGTTTAAATAAATAAAATCAATCCACCGTGTCTCCCCACTGTGCGTGGGATAAAGTTCCAATGCCTTACTCGCACACGTGCCTCCTTTTCTTCCAACCCCCGCCTGCGCCTCCCCCTCCCCCGCCGCTGTTCCTTGCTCATGCTCCTCCCGCTGCTGCTAATGCCCCTGCAGCTCTGTCTGTGGAAATCTGCAAATCCCCTTTCTTGGCGCGGGCTTGGATGACACTTTGGGTGGTCTTCAGGTTTGCGTGTGTGTTACACACGCAGTGTGTATACTGAGGTCTTGGTATTTTTCATGTGACATTACACTTATTTACTGCTTGAGTTTAAATCTTGGTTCTGCCATTTCCTAACTCTGTGGCCTTAGACAAGCTACCTCTGTGCCTCAGTTCTCCTCTTTGTAAAATGCAAAGTACAGCAATAGCACTGCCTGCTAAGGTTGTTAGCGATTGCACAAATTGATGGAATGGAAGCATTTATAATAGTGTCTGCCACATACTAAATTGCCATCTGCCCTCTACTTCCCTCTCCCTCACAAAGACAGACTTGGGTGGGTTCTAGTCACCAGGGCCCAGAATAGCTCTTGGCAAATTAAGTCTCCAGGGGCTGGGCTGGGCACCTAAATGAGTGATGCGGGCCCGGTGTGATTCAGGCACAGGGGTGCTGGGGACTGGAAGGGGCGATCTCTTTCTGAGGGGCATCTCCTATTCCACTTCTAGGCGGGTGTCAGGTAGGAATGGGGGCCCAGGGTTGTCAGATTATCAGATTCTTTTCCTTTATGAGAAGTTTGGAGAATCCACTTCTTTTTTTAATGGGTTTTTCTGGCATTTAGTATACACAGTACAGACCGAAGGCACTAAGCCTACTGGCCCACCGGCTGCTGGTTTGGGGCCCAATTCTCATTTTACAAAAGAGGTCCAGAGAGACGATGTGATCTGCCTTGGGTCACACGCCAAATGATTGGGCCCTCTGTTATCTCACTTGTCTGGTCAGGGACTGGAGGTGGGAGGGGTGGGAGGAGGATGGCTAGTGCTGGCACTGCCTCCCACGGTGGGGACTTGGGGGATCAGTCATGTGTGCCAGCGCATTTGCAAAGTCTCTGCCTACACTGTGTAACAGGTTGCACCTTCCATTCTTGTCAGCCACATCTGCCTCAGAGAGACCTCCCTGGTGTTTTTTTAAATGGGACGTGGGTCCCTTTTTATGCCAGGTGTTGGTAGGGGGAGGATTGGGTGCATTTACTGAGCATCTGCTGGGTGTCCTGGAACTGGTGGTAGTTTTACATTTGCATTCTCCTTTATTCCTTCTAACTGCCCTCCCTATGAGATGCAAAGTAGCTATTTAACTGGTAATAAAAATGATTAATAAAGAAGTTATCTGATTAGAGCCTCACAGAGGTTTGGGTGGGATTGGATTTATCATATATATATATATATATATATATATATATGTATGTATGTATATATACACACATACATATATATGTGTATGTACATATATATGTATGTATATATACATACATATATAAATATAAATTCCCAGGCTTCAGACAACGTGCTACCTCCTACATATTGGCAGTTAAGTCTGGGAGAAGCTCTGTGGGGCTTTGCAAGTCCCCGGATGGCCTTACGCACTGGTGCCACTTTCTGTGGAGGACAAAGCTTGTGATGTTCATCTTTAGAAGCTGCAGCAGGTGGCTGTGGGTCTGTCTAGATAGAAGAGAAGCCAGAGAAGATGATGATGATGACGACGATATAGGCCTGGGGGAAGGGACCAAAGCCAGTGTCAGCAGTGGGCTGGGGCTCAGGACCTGAGAAACTGCCGTCCAAGGCAAAGGCGGTATCATCATATGTTGAGGGGCTGGCATCCTTTTCAAAGCCATCTAGCAGGCCCTGGCGCCATATGATAGAGCGGAATGAAATAGAAGTGAGCAGAGTCTCCTTCACTCCCGTGAGCCATCCCATTGGCCCAGGAGGCCCCCACTATCTGATGTTTAGAGATTTTAGATGGTTACTTGGGAAATGGGCGCTTTGCTGCCGGTGGAGCTCACGCGGGCTCTATCAGCAGGGTGGCTGCTTGGTCTTGGGACAGCCCCACAGCTGGTGTTCACGTTTTGTTCCTTCTCAGAGTATCCATTTCCCCTTTTAAATGCGAGCCTCTCCCTCTGCCACCGACCCCCCACCCCGCCGTCATGCAAATGCTGAAGGGAAAGGAGTAGAGGGGTGGAAGCTCTGGGAAGTACTGATCCAACCCTTCAGTAGGTCTTCCTAGACATTGGGCTAAAGTCCCTTTTTTTTTTTTTTTTTAAAGATTTTATTTATTTATTTGACAGACAGATCACAAGTAGGCAGAGAGGCAGGCAGAGAGAGAGAGGAAGGGAAGCAGGCTCCCCGCTGAGCAGAGAGCCCAATGCAGGGCTCTATCCCAGGGCCCTGGGATCATGACCTGAGCCGAAGGCAGAGGCCTTAACCCGCTGAGCCACCCAGGCGCCCCTAAAGTCCTTCTTTTTAATTGTATTTCCTCCTTGTAAAGTCCGTGGATCTGGGTTTGTTGACTTTCACAGCATAGTTAAGCCTGGAACGGCCCACCTGCCTGTTCCTCCCTTCCAGACTCTTACTGGGGGCCCAGGTTGCTCTAGCTGTCTCCAGGGTGGGTGGCCACCCTTATCTCTTGCCATTCTTCACATTCCAGACTTCCAGCTTCCTTAAGGTTTTTTTTTTTTTTTTTTGGAAACCCCAAGCCTCTCTGTCTCTCCTCTCTGCTGAATATGGCTCTTTGGCTCGGGGCTAGGTGTTTCCTCTCCCTCCCCCCAAGAGACCATTCGCACTTCTGGCTTCTGTGTAGATGTTACCCCTCTGGATGTTTTCTGCAAGTCTCCCTCTTGCCGCCCCCTCCCGCCTTACCTGGCCTGATGAGGTTTTCCGCCGCTGGGTTCCACAGCACCAGTTTTACCATTCTCATCCTGGCACAGACTTTTCTGGAATGGGCTATAATGCCTGCCTCACCCACCAGACTGGAAGTGCCCTGGAGATAGGCACCAAACCCAAGGCCCAGCACAGGGTCTGGCATATGGGAAGTTTCCACTCAGTGTTTAATGTGGACTACATCATATGGTCAAGGACCCCCTGAGAGTATAGGGAATGGGGCCATCATTATGGACTGAAGCTGCCAGGGGTGTCTTCCTCTGAGGACCCAGATGGAGCTTTTAAATCAAAACCTAAGGGATGCCTGGGTGGCTCAGTCGGTTAAGCATCTGCCTTCAGCTCCGGTCATGATCCCTGGGTCTTGGGATTGAGCCCCACCTTGGGCTCCTTGCTCAGTGGGGAGTCTGCTTCTCCCTCTCCCTCTGCTCCTCCCCTGCTTGTGCCCGTGTGCTCTCTGTCAAATAAATTTAAAAAATCCTAAAACTCTTTCATATAGTAGTCACTAGCCACACTTATTTTTAAAATCTAAATAGATTTATTTAAAATTAAACAAATTAGAAACACATTTCCTCAGTGTCAGCCAGTTTTAAGTCCTCAATAGCCAGATGTGGCCAGTGCTTACTGTATTGGGCAGTGCAAGTGATAGAACATTCCCAGTATCTCAGAATGTTTCAGATGGTGCTGCTCTAGACACCGTCTTGTAGAAGTATTAATTTCAGGGCCTGAAGGTTGTGTGCAGGCCCTCCTTGGTGCTTTTGGTTATGGGAAGTAGATTTTCGTGGATTCCTTCTAATGCGTGAACTGTGTCCTCGTTTTCTCCTTGGTGCAGGATGCTCGTCAGAAGTTCCGTTCTGTTCTGGTGGAAGCAACAGTGAAACTGGACGAGCTGGTGAAGAAAATTGGCAAAGCTGTGGAGGACTCGAAGCCCTACTGGGAGGCACGGAGGGTGGCGAGGCAGGTGAGGTACCCCGCAGATTGTCTGCCCTGCCTGCTGCCCCAAACCAGGTCTGGGGTGCATCTTCTGACTTCCGTGTCCACTGCCAGAGGGTAGAAGTGTGAGCCCCTGGGATGCAGAAGGACCGTGACTTTGTAACCATCTGCGTATGAAGACAGCCTTTATTTTCCCCTCCCCCCATAAACTGCTCCATTCCAGCTCTTGATGCTATTAATAGAGTGTGGGTGGTGGCATTTGGAGGACCCCGTGAGTGGGTGCTGAGTTGGTGCCCAGATCCAGTCCCCAGGCAGCTAAGCCATCTTGTGTGGTGGGGGACCTAGTTCTGGCTTCCCAGTGTGTCTTCCTTGTCACTACTGATGTGGTGCCGTGTTGTGCTTATGTCCCTTCCCAGCCTCTGATAGCCAGGTCCTATGAACAGAGGGAGGAAAAGACCCCCACCCCCCGAACATCCAGCATGCTCCAGGGCTGGGGACTTTCGCATACCTCTGCCCACTCTAGCCTCCTAGTCCTGTGTCTCTTCAGTGTGACTCGCCACTTCAAGCAGACCTGAGCAAGGGGTCCAGAGCATGGGTTCTGTCCCTAGTGTGTGTTTATGTGTTGGAAGCTGTGGTCTCTACTGGTATAAAAGTGTGAGCAACAGGTGTTTGAGCGCCTACTATGTTCACAGGCAGGTGGTTGGGTGTTGAATGGGAGATCACGGGAGGGTGAACCCTTGGGAGGTGAAGCCCTAGAAATTGAGGAACGTGTTCAGGTCAGACCCATCGAGGGTCAGGGCTAGGAGTTGGGCGTTCTTCCCCTTTGCCCTGTCTCCATGCACCTCTCTAGTTTCTCATCCCGGGATTCCCCTTGATGCTTTGGTGGTTCTGGCGAGGTCCTAGGTATGTTTTTGGATTTCACACTGTGAACCCTGACTGAGCTTTCTGTTCGGAACCTGCCGGATATGTTGCCTTATTCCTAGACAGAATGGCTGCCTGAACCCTGCCTCCTTCCCTGTCCAGCTGAGCGTGGTTATACCACATCAAAGTGCCAATTATTCATTGGTCTGCAACCAGCTCTGAGCAGCCACCCCTGCTTTCTACCTTCTCTGGGCCCCGCCCAGGCCTCTGGCTTTCCAGGGAGATGGAAGGGTGCTGGCCAGTCCCCAGGAGCTCCAGAACCCCAAGGTGCTGTCTATCAAAAATGCCTGTGTCCCACTAGTCTTTCAGGCACACCCCAAGTTGGGGATGTGTTGTTCGCCTTACTCCCCTACCCCCTGCCACCATGTAGCCCTGAGTAGAAGTATTCTTGACGTAAAATTGCAGAATGAAGGGTTTGGGTTGGGTTTGAGGAGAAATTTTTTTTTTAAAGGTTTTATTTATCTATTTGAGAGACAGAGACAGTGAGAGAGAGCATGAGCGAGGAGAAGGTCAGAGGGAGAAGCAGACTCCCCATGGAGCTGGGGGCCCGATGCGGGACTCGATTCTGGGACTCTGGGATCATGACCTGAGCTGAAGGCAGTCGTCCAACCAACTGAGCCACCCAGGCGTCCCAGAGGAGAAATTTTGAAAATTTAATGTAAGCATTGATGAATACTGAGCAGGTTATAAAATCTCTTTTCCTGAAAGTCTTTAACACTTAAATTTATTGCCCTCTGCCTTTCTTGAGCCCACAGATATTTGTTAAAACCATCCACATGCCCAGGTCTCGGGATGATTAAGAGTGGACTGTTAAAGCAAGCCTTCCCTTGGAGTTGCGGTAGACATTTTCCCACCTGGTCCCTGGAGCTTAGGTTTCAGCACAGACCTGGCTAAAGGACCTCGGCATTCAGGGGCCGGTGGAGGTTGGCCCATCAGGTCACCGGCCCCAGCTGGTGGGAAGTGTCCACCTTTGGCTGTACTCCATGTCACATGTGCTCTTAACTCAGAATCTTTGAACTTTCTGGTCCCTCTGCTTGTCCCTGTCTTAACCCTTGAACTTGCACGGTCTACTCTCTTTGTCTTCAGGTTTCTGCTCCAGTGTCACTTTATCAGCAAGGCCTTCCTGGGCTACCATTGACATAACTGCCACTTGCCATCTTTAGCACCCCAGTCCCTCATTCCTTGATTGGCCATTTCTCCATAGCACTCTCTCTAGCTGACTTGTTATTGTTTACTTGTTTATAGTAGCGCAGCTCCGCGAGGAATACCCGCACAGATGCGTGGATGATGAGTTGGCAGGCCACCAGAAGAGCCCGTGCTCCTCCTGGCCCGCCCCTGGTGTTCTGAGCGTTTCCTCCATTGCCCCTTGACTCCCAGCTTACCTGCATGTGGCTTCGTGACCAGAGGGGTAGGAACACGGGTGGCAAATCCAGCTTTGTCTGGGTGGGTTTCCTTTAAATCTTACATGCTGGGTTGTCTGTGACACATCTGGGATAGATTTCACACCACTCTCTTCTGTTCTGTACCCAAATCCTCTTTGATGGGGAAAGAGGTGGGAGGAGCTGGCTTGGCAGGGTCCTACTGCTGGGCATCTGTGAACTGTGGCATTGCTCCTTCCTCTCCTCCCTTCCTGTGGCCGGTGAGGACAATGATCGTGACAGTCGTGGAGTTCTGTGGGTGAGCCACTGAGTCATCAGGTCTCTCGAGATTATACCCAGACCCTGGGGGTGACTGACTCACTCTCAGCTAGCAGAGGCCAAGATGACTGTTAAGGGAACCACTGCCTTCTTGCAGGTGGGGCAGAAAGAAGAAGGGCGGGGAAGGCCCAGAGTGACCCCTGCCCCTCAACCCCAAGGGACCTTTTTGGTCTGTAGCCGAGGAACTGGAAGGACGCTCAAAGGCTAAGGCTGGGTGCGGATGTCCCATTTCGTCTGCGCACATGGTTGGCTCTCTGGGCTCGGGCCAGGTGGCGAGTCTGTTTGTGCACCCGCATCCTCTGACCTTCCTGATGGTGAAGGGGGTGGGGCACCCCTCCAGCGCCTGCCAAGTGGGCCTTCCTGTTTTCTTCCTCTCTTTTATTCCCACCCCCTTCCTGTCTGTATTTACGGACCCTCTGGCTCTGTACAACAGGGATGGTCTCTGAGAGCTGGCCCGCTGAGCATCTGCTCCACGTGTGTATCATGCATGGGCCCTGCACTCCCAGAGCCCCTGCTCCCTCGTCTGTGCGACAGGGATGGTTTACGGGAGCAGCCTTGGCTCTCTCGTGATGTTGCCTTTGGATTTAACTGAGGTATAACGTGTGTTTGACCACAGACTCCCTGCATGAGCTTAGGTTTCAGCTCTGAAAAAACCTTTTTGTCGTAGAAAATTTTGAAAAGAAACAAAATGAAGAAAATAAGTTCCTGTTGTCTTTTGTTACTATTTGATGTTTATCTCCTATTGTTATTATTATTTTTTTTTAAATAAGAGATCATCCCGTAGTGGTGGTTTTATATTGTCTGAATGTCCATCCATCCAGAATCCCAGTGGAGAGGGGACTTAAAGAGCTTGGTTTTCCAGGAGATTACGAAGGTTTGTAATTGTTGGGCCAATAGAACTTCTATTTGCTTATCAAAATTTACATTAACTTTATTGTTCCTGGTGTCATGTCAGATCAGGAATGAGTCAGATCCAGTCCTGTGAGGGTGAAAACGCAGCCCAAATTCTCCCAAGAGGAGGTAGAATCCAGCCCCCACAACGGCCAGCTGGGGTGGGGTCAGGGAACTGGCTTTGATGGATTTGAGGGTTTTTGTCCTTGAGCTGGCGCTTGTTCGTAAGGCTGCTTTGACATATCTGTCAGCCCATGTGGCCTTCAGTGTGTGGCAGGGGACGTTCTGACAAGGGGGTGGAGCTGTGTGACTCAGTAAAGCCTGAACAGCCAGAGTGTTTCTTGGTTGCTTTGCTCCCTGGGCTCTAACTTGTCTAGCAGTGACCCTGAGCCTGTCGTTTTTAGCGCTGCCACTCTCCATGCTTAGTATTACTATTTTTTAAAGAGGTGTGGAAACTGTACAGAACATACATTTTGCCATCTGAGCCATTTGCAAATGTGGAATCCTGCAGCATCAAGTACATTCATGTCGTGGGCCCATCCCCACCGACATCCATTTCCAGAACTTTCTCATCTTCCCAAACTGCAGCTCCGTACTTATGAGATGTCCACACCCCGTTCCTTCCAATTCCTATCCTTGGCAACCATGGTTCTACTTTCTGTCCCTGTGAATAAGTACCCAATGGAAATGGAATCAGGCAGTATCTGTCCTTCTGTGACTGGCTTATTTCTCTTTGCCTAACATCTCCTGGGTTCGTCCATGTTGAAGCACGTGTTAAAATTTCATTCCTTTTTAAGAGGACCCACCACATTTTGTTCGTTTATCCATCGATGAACATTTGGGCAACTCTCGTTGGTTTTACATGGTTGCAGTGTGTCAGAGGACTTTGCAAGTCTGAAGAGCGACAGAAATGCAAAATAGGGTAACTCGGTGCTAGATGTTGCCTGTTTTGTGTTTATGGGGCTATGTAAGTCTCTGCCCCACACGTAAGTTCTTTCAGGGAAGTAAGGCGAGTGGGAAGGCCTTTGAAGCTTGTGGAGTGACTTAGCTGTAGGACAACTGGCAAAGCCTGGCCTCTGAGCCAGAGGCTATTGGCTCTGAATCCTAACTGAGATTTTAATAGCCGTGGGACTTTGATGGGTTATGGAACCTCTGTGCCTTAGTTTCTTCATCTATAAAGTGGAGTCATTTATGTCCGCTTTTGCTGGGACACAAACCACCCCAAACTTAGTGGCTTAAAACCCTTATTGAGCTCATGATTTTGCTGGGCAGTTTTTTTTTTTTTTTTTTTTTTTTAACTTCAGGCGTGGCTGGTGTCATGCATATGTCATCAGTTGGTGAGTTGGCTGGGTGCTGGCTGATCTCCCATGGCTTTATCTGTCAGGCACTTGGCCCGTGGTCAGCTAAGGCTTCCCAGGTGACTGGACCACATGTGTCTCATCCAACAGGCCAGCGAGGGCTTCTTCACGTGGTGTGGGGATTCCAGGAATAAAAAGGACAAGCTCTTTTCAAGCCTCTG